CTGTTTGTTTTACTGTTTTATGCTTTCAACGTAATTTAAAACTTGATACAACGATAAAACAAGATTTTGACAATTTATCAAGCGAGTCTGATATGTAACTTGTTTTGTGATATACTTGTTCAAAAATATGCACGGACGTAAATGCTGATGGTTTTTGGAATGCGTGGCTAAAACACTTTTAGTCTAAGGAACAAACTCGTTTGGCAAGTTAGTGCTTTGAATAATATTTTATATTTTTTTCGGAATTATATACGTGGCAAATTATTACTTAGCTACAAAGTTGATACTTCTTTTCTCTATGTTGACATGTTGAGCAAAATGGTATTTCATGTAGCGTTTTGTATACTTAATGTACACAATCTTATGTCAATATATAAAATTACATCACCCCTTTTTGTCGAGCAAATCAATCCTCTGCTTCCGGTATTTAGATCTCACACACGCCCTTGAATATATGTGTCATAAAAATTGTAAGTTTCGGTAATGTAACACATCAATAATATATAAACGCCGTTCTTGATAATTATGAATGAATCTGAATGAGTACAATGTATTTGTCTTAGAAATTGCAACACGAACTTTCGAAGGTAGCTGTATAAAAGCATAAACAATCAAGTTATTGATCATTCTGAGAAAACATTTATTAATTAATCTAGCTATGTGCGCTCTCCGTAAATAGTAAACAATATCTGATCTAAACGTTTCGAGAAGTGTTACTTGTTTTTATACTGAAAATGACATGTAACACTTGTACTCAAACTTTAGTGATTTAATAGAGTGATTTAGCAAACACGACGTCGACAAATTTTCGCGAGGGACCTGAGTCTAGGACGCCACCACGTAAAGTATTTACGATTTAGCAAACCTTTTGTAGGACTTCATCTAATGATAGTATGAAACAAGTTTCATCTATTTCGGCATTTTTCCTGCTGGATCGTGTTTTCCGATCATTTTAATCTAATTTTTTGATATCAAAAATATATTGCTGTATATTCATTTCAATAAAATTATAAATAAAAGCAAAATCATGTACATACGACTTTGTAACTAAAATTGTTTTGACTCCGTGGAATACCCCGAAATTAGAGCAGACCCCGCGTTGTTTATTTGTTTGCTTTTTCCGCTTTTGGAAAAAAAAGTATTCGCAATTTTTCCTTAAATAAATATATGTAGGCCTATATAATCTTTTAACATGCAAATATCAAGGCTATTTCCTTATTTTTGTCCAAAAATTAAGTTTGTTTCAGCCGTCGTCGATACGACGCCAAATTATATTTTCATGTCGTCGTCGTCAACAGGACTGCCGTCGTAGATTAAACCGGAAGTAAAAGGTTCATGCCACGCCATTTTCACGGCGTCTTTTTATGTAAGTTTCTTTTGTGCGTGAGCATAAAAGAACACATTTATCGCTGAAGTTTTTGGCGTCAGCCGCTAATTAAGGTCGTGTTAAAGATAGCCGCTTCAGTTATTATAGAACTCAATGGTTAAAACCAATTTTAAACAACTGAATTCCTCATTTTCACAATAAATGACTTGAAGAACTTTCCAAAAGGCATTTGTTTACAGCTTCGCTTGCCCAAGTAGAGGGAGCATACTACAAATATCTACGCTCTTCTTGAATGATTTTGAGCAGACTCCCACTGCGTATAATTTTATAAATCTTAAATGCACAAATTGAAAATAACATGAACTGCGGTAGAATTATTAAACTTTCGTAACCTTTCGTCAACATTATAAGTAGTGTACAAAATGCAAGAAGTTCTGATACGAAATTTGTCTTCGGAATTATGTATTTATATACTTTATAATTATTCATCATCCATAAAAACTATTAGTTTCCGCAATTAAAAGTGAACATACAACAAATATTTACGTTATTCTTGAATTACTATGAAAAGAATCTTACTGTTCAATGATTTGATATCCTTCATAAAATAGTTGAAAACATTGTGATTTTAGATGTATTCAGAATATGAGCTTTCATCTATATTTATTACGCCACGTGTAAATTTAAAATGTGATTTAAATAAAGTCATGGCAAAGCAACGTCACCATGAAAATGTGAAGATGTGAAACAAGAGTTAACGCTGACAACATGTATGGAAATATTTATGGAATTAAGTGCAAGGCTCACACTCTCAACTTAAACAAAATCACCTTTTTCTATTGTAACTTAGTTTATTAGTTAGCAACATTTGGCCAGTATTTATAGTGTTTCCCAATATTTGGTAAATATTTTTGTTTTACCTAAGTAAATTTTCATAAAAACACAAGTGCACATCAAGAAAATAAGAAACAATTTCTCTCACCTACGTCCTATCCTTTTGGTCTGTACGCTTAGGAATTGGTGGGACTTGAAATTCTTTACTAAGCACAGGCTTCTTTTACATCTCACTATGTAACGGAAATGTTAAAAAGCAAAGAAAACAGGAACTTGTTATACTCTATCATCGGAAAATTCCACGCGTTTGGGCAACGCCAAGTCCAAAAACCAATAAAATACTTGCTTTTACGGTTTCTCGCGCGTGAGTCACGAAATAATGCAAAACGTGTTATGTAACTACTGCGTCACACAAATAATAGTATTGCATATGGTAATTTCAAAACTAATGTGGTCTATATTCTTGTGTAATTTCAATTGTACTGTTATATTAAACTATGCAAATAATTAGCGATTTATTAACTCTGCGTATAATAAATACTTAAGCAATGACGATACAGTGAACAACACTATCATTAAAGTTGTGACAGGACTTTCAAAATTTAACAATACATGTAGATATAGAAATAATTCATCATATGAACATATCGTGATTCACTATAATTAAATCATAGTATTATGTAAAATTACATATTGTATACTGTCAAATTCTTTTGTAATTATTTACATAAGATATTGTTATGAATATTGTCCGCTCCATATTAATCGCTAATACTGTCACAGTATAGGAATATACAGTAGGGCCACTTCGCTGTGCAACTGGCTGCTGGTATATTTCATTCGTTTACATGCTGCCGTTTGCCATATCGTCAGTCCTATTAGTCTCACAATGCAATTTACTGGCAGCCAATAAGTTAATCACATGTGTAATAAGGTATACGTGGCACGTAAAAATTAAATGGACTGGCCGTACTGTATGTTCTCTATACTCTGACACTGTCGATGAATGTTCGTTCATGCCACTTCCCCTCAAGAAATCTATTTTTGTCACACGCTCTTTTCATCTGTAGATTAAAGTGGATGGTTTGATGGCGTTAAGGTTTTGTGCTAGAGCCTTCTTTGTAAATTTCTTATCGGCAACGTAAAGCAATGAAGTCAACATGAACGTTTTTCTCTCAGCAGCCGTTCTAATTATCAAAACTGTTGCATAGAAACGTATTGTGGTCAAAGTCAATGAAGCTTTGAGTATATTCATTGTTTATATAGTTAGTAAATATTCAATTTATTTTATGATATATGCAGCTTAAAAAGCTAATGTTTAAAGCTGAAAATTCTTAAGGTTTACCACCTTACTTTCTTTCTTTGTTTCAGTAGCGGATATAGGGGTAGTCACAGCGAGCAGCAGCGAGCATAATAAATTAAAGCTGCTTAATTTTAAATTCAAAGAACGCAGATTATGTCTTTTTTCAAAATTTTAAGTACAAAGAGCAAATACTGTTTTCTATGAGTCATTATCATGGTAAAGGTTTTTCCAACAGTTAAAAATAATAAGTGATGACGTTTAATGCCCTTATCAACTGGCAAATTCCCTAGAAGTGTACCTCCCCCGCAAATACACTTTCAAAATAAATCAGTCGGCACCCTTATTTTATGAATTTAGACCTTCCAAGGTTTAACGTTCTATATACGCCACTGATCATAACCTCTTGCTTAGTTTCAAGGTCTGCTTCAGGTTATTTAAACACTATGACGCTATAGCACATACAACATAATATATTTGAAAATTGGTAACCCAGGCATGCTATGATAATGATAAGGATTCTCTGGATTTGTTTTAAATTTTTATTAAGCTTTCAACTCGGTGCTTCGAGCCTTCGTTAGAATGTGCGAATATATCATTTACAAAGATTTTGTAGGCGTTTGGAGCGTCTGATTGGTTGGTTAGTTGTTGAGTTGATATTATTGGATGGCATAAGATGTGTTGTCATGGTTTCGGGTGTATGGACACCATATATCTTAATTAAATATTAAACGTGCAGTGGCAGGTAGCCTACCTTAAAACGAAAATTACTGTTTATATGGAAAATTGAATAAATAAATCTGCTGCCATATATCAATGTAGATCTAAGAAAGTCGTATTTGTTATTCAATGCACTGAATTTCTATGCAAATTTCTATTTCAATGCAAAGATCAATGCACTGAATTTCTGTATTTGTTATTCAACTGTGTCTGGTGTATATGTAAATCTTTCAATCGAAACTCGACGTGATCGGTTGAGGTCCCTTTATGATTAGTAATAACAATGTATTAATAAAGGCGGCATTCAGAGTTCTTTGTTTCAGTAGCGAGCGATGAGATCTCAACGATCCAATCATCATTTTTTTTGTTATCTGCATTGAAAGGTTTCAAAAAAGTTATTTTGAATACGTCACTGATAAGGTAACCTACACCTTCGAAAAGAATATCGTTGAATTACTTAATTGTCAGCTTTTAACCTATATAGATAGAACGAAGTGTCGATGAACACTATTTTTTTATTGTGTCTATGTTTTAGTAAAATGAATTATAGCTGTTAATTTTAAATTAAAAGTACCTCCTTTACAATGTTATTGGTGATAAATTTCCAATTAGTAAAATCTAACCTATCAATACACATTTGTTTTTTTTCTGATCGCCAAATTTCCAATGATGTTAAAAATGGTAGAAATGCCACATAGCAACGAATTCATGAAACATTTCTTCAGTCAAGATTATCTTTTACAAAATTTAGTCTTTTTGCAGAACTTTCTTTACAACTTTGGAGATTTATGTTCTTATTTACGTTAGCTAAAAAAGAGCCGCCCTGAATTTAAAGCACTAAATAACTTCGCATCAGAAATGAACCTTCAACAACTCATTAAATCGCCTACAAGGATCACCGCCACTACAGAAACAGCACCAGACGTTATTCTTGTCTCCTCGACCTCTCTCGTGCGTAAAAGCGGCATCATAAATCTTTCAATCAGTGACCACATGGCTGTGTTCGTCGAACTCAAAGTGAAAGCCCCAATTCCTCCTCCATACTATATATCAGTACGTACTTATAAAAAATATAGCCCGACTATGTTTTCTGGTGATCTGGCAGCAAACTCCACCCGCTTATTGTCCATATTTGACACTACAGATGTGAATGCTCAACTCAATATCTTCAACGACGTATTGCAATCAACCCTAGACTCCCATGCACCCGTAAAAACAATTAGGGTACGCAATCGCCCTTGTCCTTTCGTTACCAGATATATTAAACAACTCATGGATAACAGAAACAGCCTCCATCGTCGATTTCTCCAGACGCGTGACGCGCTGGATTGGGAAAAATATAAAGCCTCACGAAACACCGTCAAACGGGTTCTTACTGAAGCAGAGAGAAGTTACACCTTCCAAGAGGTACAAGAAAATAAGAATAACCCACGTTCCCTCTGGAAAATTATAAATCGTACAATACCATCTAAAGGAAAAGAAAGACATGTCTACGCTAAAGACCCCAAAACTGTAGCTGATGAATTCAACGCATTTTTCTTTAAGGTGGGTAGAAATGCCTCCGACGCCGTAGCTCAACTGGCTGAAGAAATCAATATCATCCACCAAGAGCCCCTTTTTGAGCCTGCTCCATCACCTCAATGTGACCTATTTAATTTCCGGTCGGTGTCAGTTGAAGAAGTGCGTCGCATTATTTCAGCAATGCATACAAACGAGTCCCCCGGCCCAGACAAGGTTGAAGCTCGAATATTTAAGGACAGCTTATCCGTGATTCTAGGTCCACTCACAGAAATAATAAATTGTTCCTTTGCGACCTCCACATTCCCCGAAGCTTGGAAGGCAGCCGAAGTTATCCCTCTCTTAAAGTGGTTATATCACGAATTTTAGCCCCCCTTTTTTATGAGCTTAATTGAAAATTTGGATTATTTGAAGAACTATGACATGTCGCTGGACTTAAACAGATAAATATAAGTTCCTTAAATTTGCCTCCAAAGTCGGGTACTTTTTGCGAATTTTTTACGACGCCATATTGATACTTGTGACGTAGATAGTTGAACACGTCTGTTTCCGTCAATATAATATTATATTATAGGAGGTGATTTTGTTGTCGTTTTTCTTGTGTTAAAAACAAATAATGGCAGTATTTTCAATAAAATATTAAAAAACAAGTTGTCCGGAAAGTATGGCCTCAAATCAGTGCTCAGATAATTCGAATTCGATGTCTGAATGCGTATCTGATTCGAGCTCGGAATCCGTGGGTTATGTCGAGCATTTAAACGACTTCGCATATGACGATGAACCGCTCGCAGGAGATGGTGATGAAGTGCATACTCCAGATGATCCCGATGGAATTCTCCTGCGACCTTAGAACAACGAAGTGATGGCGTAATTCCACTCGGTGAATGGTAAGTTGTTGTTTTCTCCTGTTTGTAATATACATAAAGTTACTTTATAAACCACAATGCTCCCACGTTTCAGGTGTAATTGTCAATGCTGTCATACCGATTTGTTAGAAGGCGCATTAGAGTACAGATGCTGTAAGGAAATAGGACCAGCTTTGCAGAAAATGACATTCGATGGCAGCATTGAGAAAATATCATGCATAACACAGCATGCCAAATTTGGGCCTTTAGTTCATGAGGCTGTCCTTGAAAACGTCGGGCCACTATTGAGAGATAGGAATGGACGTGCTTATCGCCGCCAAGCATCACAATCATTAAATATGTAAGATTGTAAATTGTATGAGAAAGAATGTTATCATCAACATTGTTTCATCAACAATAATTAGTCCAACCTTTTTATTTACTTCAGGTACTTGAGAGCTGTGGCATACAGATGGTTGATGCGATGGTTTTGTGGGTCTATGGGATGGGAGAATACTCGGCCTTTACCTGCTTGTGTTTACCACTTTATTCGGAAAGCATATCCAAGTGGTAACACAACAGGTTACATACCATCAGAGGGGCGATGATGGAAAGGTCTTTTAACTTGTGCACTGTAGAGACTGTTGGCCTTCTTTGCTGAGTTTAGAATGGTCAGGAAATATGCCTAGATGAAAACCAAATAGGAGATACATGGATGCACTATATGGTAAAGAAAATCTTTTCTTCAATGTCAGTCTGGGAAAAAAAAAAGAAAAATTATATGGAATTAAATCATAGCATAAATGTAAAAATGGAAAATAGCAAGCCACATGAACTTATCTTATAAGGTCTTCGCACTTGAGTGCACTGCACCCGCAAAGGGCATGTTGAGCATTAAACTACAATAAAAAAAATTATTCATAAAAATTAATTAGTTGCACAATCGAGTGAGATAGTCATCTTCAATCTGACAAGTATACATACCATTCAATGTTATATTAATACTGTAATCATCAGGAAAGGTGTGTATATCAGTGCCCAGATAGGGAGGCTAGAGGGTACTATCACTTGCCTAAGGTGAACCCTCAGGCTGGTGGTGGGAAGGAGGTGCCTTACTTCTCCATTCCAGACAGGCTCCAAGCAATGTCTGACCACTGCCCTATCATCTACCAATTTCAATTTATTCTTTTTCAGTGGAGCATTGACCTCGAGGATGTCCTTTCATTGGAGCTTTGCATTTAGTACATTTGAGTACTTTTATTCCCAGCGCTATTTAATATTTGATCCGCATCATCTGTTAGGTCTTGTAACTGCTGTCTTTGCTGTTCCACTAAGGAAAAATGCAGATCATTACATCCTAAAATAATTGTAAACAATACCATTATCCCATACTTACAGCACGGATAAAGTGCATGACTGACATGCTTGTTCCTTGCAACATATTTTTTTATTGCCTCAGCCTTGGATCGTTTGGTGGGAAACTGGCTGCACAAAGGTTCGGGTGCTTTTCCTCTATATCTTTCCATTATAGTTGAAAGTTCTTGTTTATTAGACATGAAAAGAACATTCTTTACTTGTTCAACATATTCTACAAATTGATATGAAAAATAATTTCTTACTGATGCTTCAATTCTCATATTCTACAAAACATTCTAAAAATTAGCATACCATAAGATGGCTTCACAGACACTTCCCGCAATACTTCCTCACCCAACTTATACTTAGGGAAATTTATGTTATACACCACTTGTCCATCCTTTGATTTTTTCGACTCACGATGAACATTTTCATTGAAATGAAGTATGGCAATAACATGTCTATCAAGAAAAAATTAAGAAAATAAAAAAAAATACCGCAGCAGATGAGAAAATATATTTCAAGGCATTAAAATGCTGACCTGCAAAATGTTCCAAGCCATGAAAAATGAGTCATTTTTGGATGCCAATGGTTCATGGTGGAATGAAAGGCTTCAAGACAACTAGTCTGGCCATCTGGTGAAAGTTTGCCGATGTCTTTCAAAATGCTTGGCTTGAGTAGGATAGAGCATATCTTATCATATGCAATAGTTCCTAAAAGGTTGTGAAATTGTGTTTCATGTATAGAGTTGTGACTATAGTATGACATACAACCTTGTACTATTCTATTTCCACATTAGCTGAGTATTTTAAGTTACCTATTGGTATCCATTTCCGCTCTGGGATCTGACCATGAGCACACGATGGGAATAATGCATCAGGGTGGTTATCATGCTTGTTAGCCATGTCTTGCAGTAGATTTCCATTTAGCAATGATAAGCTCTTCAAAGCCAAGTATAGTAGTTTGAGCACTCCAATACAAATGTCGGCGAATACCACCCAACCATTCATTGATTATTTCACACCCTTTCTCTTTGCCTGCCATCTTAAGTTGTTTAGCAATACTTTTATTTACATGCCAGATATCATTAAAGTGCTTTGTTTCTTTTTTTTCGTTTCGGATCCACTTTGCAATCCCTTTGTGCCTGTCACTGATGAAAACATCCATGGTAAGCCCAGATTTCTCAAGAAACTGAAAAGATCTTTTTGCTCCCTCCAGTTCCATGGCATTACTGCTACCAACTTCATTGGCCTGTTTGAAAATAAAATGCTTCCATCATTGAAAGTAAAAACACTATAAACAATGATTTTCATCATTCGATAATACCTGAAGCAATTCAAAATGAACCAGCTTTGATGTTGTGTTGCTCCAAATTGTGTAAACTCCATATTTCGCACTGTGCCCCATAGAATCAAAGCGTCCATCTCCTGACCATGTCTGGAAATCTGCATCACTTTTTTTCACATCTTCAATTAACTTTAACTGATAGCTTTCCCAATGCTTCAGAATAGCTGGAAACAAGAAGGTGCGTTGATGCACATGATAAGTGGACACACTATTTGCTGAGAGATTCATGTGCTTGAACATCAGCATGGCCTGACTTATACTGACACCAGACATCAATATACCAAAACTAGTCATAATGTTTCCAGCTGGATATCTTCCTAAAACCATAGGTTGGCTTCTCCACATAAAGTTCTTTTCAACACATTTACCACAATTTTGCTCTACAATGGCCATCGAACCAATGTTTTTAATGTGTACTTTTGGATTTTCAGCCTTGCAGTTAAAGCAAAATTTTTCAAACAACTCAACCAATGAGATGTAAAATACCATGAACATAGGTTGTTCATGCGAGCTTGCTCCTTCATCAATTCTGTAACACGATTAAGAAAATTCATTATTATGAAATACAACAGAGCTCTAATTCTTTATATGATAAAATACCTGACTGTATTACTTGTGGTATCTTCATCTAAATCTTCACTCTGACTAGACTCTTCGAAAGAGGAGTAGTCCATGTATGATTCTTCTTCGAAAAGTTCTTCAGCACTCCCCTGCATTTCATCGTCTATATCAATGCTGGTAACCACGGATGTATTACGATTTTCCCTGATTTCGCGTCGATATTCATTTTGCAACTTCTGGGCCTTTTTCTTCAAAGATGCTTTTGTCTTTTTATACCAGCTTAAAGTCTTTTGTAAAGATGTAAGTTTTTTCTTAAGACGATGGCACGATTTATATGGAGACTGGGATTCATCAATATCTTCACCAACTGCATGTAGTTCTTCTTCAAATGGTGAGTCGTTTGCTTCCCCCAGTGCATGCTTCAACATGCTCAGCTCCATCACTAGTAGATGGTACTTCCTCATCGAGAGAACATGTTTCCTTCAGCGATGGCTTATTGAGAGTATGTCGAATAATCTACAAAACATATATCGAATTTACATATGACAAAAGAAAAATTAACATAAACAAGCGTTAACTTACTTGTCTGCGCTTTCGATCGGTTATTTCGTCCTGTAATGGTTCAGGAATCCCAGCCACGTCAATGGTTGGGATAGCATCTTTCTTCAACCTTCTCTTGAGCTTGACTTGCACGCTCAAATTAAGGTCAAAACAAGAATCTTCAAAATGCGCAGAACACCGACAAGAGGTAGAGGAAGCCTCAAAACCCGGTCTATATTTACGCACAAAATTTACCCATTTTCTATGTCTTTGCGGCTCTGTTTCTTTTTTAGGAAACAGATGCATCGACATTCCTTCTGTTTTTGAATCATTGGCGCAACTAATTTGATTAGGTCCGCCAGCAACACAGCGTTTTCCTCCGCGTTTCTTATTAAGATTACTAGTAGAATACGCCATGTTGATATATGTGTTCAACTATCTACGTCACAACTCATTAGCATACCGATCAAAAAATTCGCAAAAAAAATGCTGAAAATCGTGACTTTGAACGTCCGTAAAATCACTTTCACCAATCCAATTTCAATTATAATTGCAGATTTAAAATCACTGAAATAAGGTCTTTCAATTTAGCTAATAAAAAAGGGGGGCTAAAATTCGTGATATAACCACTTTAAAGGAAGGTGATCACAATGTGGCATCCAACAGCCGCCCATTATCACTCCTCCCAGTTGCATCAAAGGTGTGCGAACGGATCGTCTTAAATCAAGTCTCTGGTTACCTTTCAGAGCACAACCGCTTAACCCACCATCAGAATGGAAACAAGAAATTACATTCCACCGAAACTCTTAACATCTACATCACAGATAACATACTCGAAGCTATGGACAAGAAAAAGATTACAGCTCTGATTTTGTTAGATCTCTCAAAAGCATTTGATAGTATAAACCACCAACGATTATTAAAGAAATTAACATCCGTTGGCGCATCACCTGCCACAGTCAGGTGGTTTGAGAGCTATCTATCGCACCGCACCCAAACTCTTCGCATTGGTTCTACCTTGTCTGACCCGCTAACCATCAGTCACGGAGTCCCCCAAGGAGCCATCCTTTCACCATTACTGTTTTGCATCTATACTAACGACCTGCCAAACACGTCTTTAACTTGCGAAATCGAATCCTATGTAGACGACTCGAAAATTCTCAGATCTTTCCACATTCCAGAGTCCGAAACAGCAATGCTGGAATTAGAGGAAGATCTCCAGAGAGTCGCAATTTGGTGCTGCGAAAACCACCTCCTTATCAATCCAGAAAAAACGAAATTTCTTTTGCTTGGCACGCGACAACTTATAAACAGATTGCCGGCGCAGCCATCCCTGTCCTTCCTGGGTAGAATCCTGACTCCTGAGAGCTCAGCTAAAGATTTAGGTTTGACGTTGGATTCTCATCTATCGTATGATGATCACATCTCTAAGGTAGCGTCTTCATGTCTGTCCAAGTTAATGCAAATAAACCGTGTAAGACAAAGTTTTGACCAAACAACACTTCTAAAAATCATGTCTGCCTTAGTTTTTAGCAAAATGTTTTATTGCTAGTCCGTGTGGTCGAATACCACCAACAAAAATATAACAAAACTTCAACTGCTGCAGAACTTTGCCTGTAAAATCGTTACGGGCACCAGAAAATATGACCATGTTTCGCCACTCTTGCGCCAATTAAACTGGAAGCCTGTTCAACAGTGTCTAGACTATCGAGACTTAGTCTTGACATACAAGTGCGTAAATAACCTTGCCCCCGAATATCTCTGCAAAAAGTTCCATAAGAGTCCTCACGATCGGGCCACCCGTAATAGAGACCTATTTCAAATTCCGAGGTTCAGAACATCAACGGGCCAACGCACATTTTCATATAGGGCAGTCAAATTGTGGAACAATTTAGACAAAGATGTGAAAAATTCCAAGTCTCTTGATTCATTTAAGAAAGCTTTAAAAGATCTTTTGTAGTTCCATCTTGTAATGTTACTTTTATCTTTAAAATCGTTTTAATAATAGTCTTTTTTACAAACATTTATAAGTCAAATATGTATATGTATTCAATTTTGTAAATAGCTACTGAAAAGCCCTATAGGGAGTACCTATTGTTAGTCATTAAAGTTCATTAAAGTTCATTAAAGCTATGTTGATTTTAAGAACTATGTAGTCTTGCAATGGCTAAAGTTCATAAAAAACTTGCAAATTTTTAAATCTTTTAGTGCGGGTTAATTCGGAAGCCGAAAGTTTTGCATTCAACCGACGTTTTAAAAACATAAAATAACGCAGACTTAATGAGTTCAGTAATAGTTGCTAACTTGAAGAATATTTTTCTGTTGTCGGCATTTTCTTCCAATAAAAGTTAGTACATCTGATGAAATTATGGATTTATATCCATGACAACTTCGTGTGCACACATTTTCAAGTAAATTTCTTTTGTGTGTGAGAATGGAAGAACAAATTTATCGCGGAAGTTTTTCTCCTAGCAGCTGTTCCGATTTCAAATACTTTTCTACTAGTTTATTTAACGTAGCGTCAACAAACCTTCTTTTGTAGCTGGTGAACAAGGTTTTTGCGTTGCAAGGCGGTGTTATCAAGTTAATCTTTTCGAGAAAACACTTGATACAAGTGCCTTATTTGTAATGTACATATACAGGTGGCAGTCTCGTATTGGACCGACGTTACCTGCTGTCTTCCCAACATAAAGGAGAACTAATATCATGAGTTCAACAGTACTTGAAAAAAATTATTTTCTTTCGTATGCATTTTCTTCCAATAAAAATAAATACATTTAACGAATTTATCGGTGTTCGTTCATATCAACTACAATTTTTTTGTTCTCCATATTTTTGTCTGTGATCATAAACTACGAAAAGGATTACGAAATTTTTCTTTGTAGCAGCTGTTCCAGTTTCAAAACATTTTTTTCGTATTTTAAAAACTTAAAATTTATTTTGAATGAACGATGGGAATGAAGGTTTCTGATTGCAATGCAACAACTTAAAATAGAATTCAGAAGACGAAGGTTTCTATAATATTTATTTTGTTATGTCTCAAGTAAAAATGTGAATAAAACAATGGCATGATAAAGTATTCTCAATAAAAGTGCGTCGCGACAAGAAGCGAGAGTTGGCGCTTACAAAATCAAATGAAATATTTAGGCTGTGTTCAAAACAAGACAAGTTCCTGTCAGAATTTTTCACTGAAAGATCTTTTGCCTGTTTTATCGTTTATTGCATTTTGCTTTCATTTTGTTTCTTTGCGGCAATAAATCCTTTAATCTGGTAAATGCTAAATGCTCATCACGACACTTTCATTATATATAGAATAAGAAATAATCTCACCCACCTTTGACTTAACTATGTCTTATCGTTTTTATATAAAGATCACTGACGTTTATATTTCTTAACCAAACACAAGCTCCGTATAATCTTCTCTCTGCGACCAAAACGATTGAAAGATAACAAACAGACTCACCCTTTTTTTTTGCCTGGTAGAGATCACGTGCATAGGCAACGCCAATCTGTTAACCAATAAAATACTTGCTGGGGTGAATCTTCACGCATGCGCTATAAAAACAATGAAATGTATCAAAATGGAACTGTACTTTCCAATAATCGATTTAACATTTGTATTGTTTCAAAAGATATAGTGCCGAGATTCTGTTGCATATGTCTAAAGTTTTTCATTACAAAGTTTGTTAAGGTAGCTGTAAAAGAAATATAAATTAAACACAACAAGTTCAAACCTAAATCCTGCAAACATCTTCATTGAATATTAAACGTGCAATGGCAGGTAGCCTACCTGAAAAGGAAAATTACCGTACGTGGGAAAGTAAATAGTAAAACCTGTTGCCATATATCAATAAAGATTTAAGAAAGTCTTAGATCAATTCACTGAATTTCTGCAATTGTTATTCAACCCAAAACATTACATTCCTTTCTATCGAAATTTGACATAATCAGTTAAGGTTCCTTCAAGATTACTATTTAAGACATAAGAATGAAGGCGGCATTCGGAATACGTTTCACAGAAACAAATAACAGCTGTATTTTGGGCGCCAAATTTATGACCTTCTGTCTCAGTAAAACTCAGAGAGATGAGGAAAGCGTCCATTTAAAGCAAAAATTATGTAATATTTTATCTCTTCTCCGGCTTCGCTTTTATGCCTGTTTTACAGCACTACATCTAAGCCTATAACATAATTAAAATATTGGCTGTTTTTGTCTCAAAAGCTTAGTTGTCAGTACATTTATAGACCATGATCTGTGCCTCAAATATTTTCTTTACAGACAAGTTTCGTTGAACACCTCAGGAAAGAGCGCAAAATTTTCAAAATAGATAAAAAATCACTTGTTGTTTGATATTCTTTTTATTGTCACTTCTAAAAAGATGCAGTTTTTTTAGTATTTTGCGGTTGAATTTCAGAATTCCTCGCTCCTTCAATTTTGAATGTCGCCATTTTTTGGTGCGGAACTTCATGTATCTAAATGCCGTTGTTGCGGTGAGGCAAATTTATTCACGGGCGCCATCTTGAAAGGTGGCAAAAACGCGAGACTCTTAATAAAATCTAAGTAAAATGTAAGTTTTAAATGAAGAATTCTGTCGAAAATTTTGGAAGAAAACCTATACTGTCACCTCCGCACTTATGTATCACCATAGGAGAAGCATATTTTAGATCTAAATCTCGTCAGTTTAAATAAATCATGGTTAAATCGTTATATCGCAACTTATACGAATGTAC